AAGCACATGCGAGTACTCACACTGTGTGATATTTATTTTGACCTGATTAAAAAAAAAAACATTCATATGAAATGCTAAAAGAATGTGGGGCTTAACAAAAGGTTTAAAATTAAGTATTAGAATGTGTAATTACTGTAAATGACAAAACGACAATTTGTCTGATAATTGTATATTTTAGACTATATTTCTGTCAAAAAGGTTGTATATTTTAATACAATACTGTATTCCTGATATAGTTTTTCTCTCATGCACTGTTTTTCTTGATAATGTCTGTATATAATTTATCAGTATTGTTATCATCCGTATGTGCCGCTATGTTCCATGTGTCTTGAACCCAGTGGCGGACATGCAACGTGTTAAAATCAGACCATAGTAGATTGTTTCCTAAATAAGTACCCATTTTTTAAATTTTTTTTTTTTTATTTGCATTGTCAGCTAATGAGTTGAGCACAAATTCTAATATTTCCCTTATCAGTAAGTGACATAATATGATGAGCTTGACAAAACTGATGATGCTCCCCAGCTATTTTGTGATGCACAGACAGCCATAATTTTGCTCATGTAAGATAATGGGGGAGCATCATGAACTTGTAGTACCACCATACCTGGATATCTACCAATTCTAAATTGTTGAAAGCTATGCGCTATTAGGCCATTTTATAATATAATATAATTCACCCATACTTGCAGTCAAAGTGCATACACACTGCTAATGTAATAAAAAAACAACAATTTTTTTATATATATTTCGGTTGGATGGGGCTGCAAACAATATGAAAAAGTATTTTGTCATCAATACTTTTTATGGTGTGAAAGCTTTATACATGCATTACACTCTCACTTTCAGACTTCAGCAAACCTTATATAATAGAAATACTACTGGTGAAAAAAGCAAGCTTGAAGTTGATATAGTGTCTGGAAGTCCTTGGCATCTTTTTACTTATGAGGATAAACCATTTACGAATATTTTAAGCCCAAAGTGTTCTTGAAGGCCAACTAGACTGGTAATTTGAATGTAAAAAATAAAGAAAATTAGGCCAAAATATGTGAGCTTGAAACATTTTCCAACTGAACATTTTTTCCCTAAAGCTTTGCCTCTGGCCTTAAAGGACCACTCTAGGCACCCAGACCACTTCAGCTTAATGAAGTGGTCTGGGTGCCAGGTCCCTCTAGGATTAACCCCTTTTTTTTTATAAACATAGCAGTTTCAAGAAACTTCTATGTTTATAAATGGGTTAATCCAGCCGCTAGAGGCGTTTGCGTGCTTCTCACTGTGAAAATCACAGTGAAAAGACGCCAGCGTCCATAGGAAAGCATTCTGAATGCTTTCCTATGAGACTGCCTAAATGCGCGCGCAGCTCCTGCCGCGCATGCGTGTTCAGCCGAAGAGGCGGAGAGGAGGCGAAGAGCTCTCCGGCGGCCCTGGAAAAAAGGTAAGATTTAACCCTTTCCTCGCCATCCAGCCCGACGGGAAGGGGTCCCTGAGGGTGGGGGCACCCTCAGGGCACTATAGTGCCAGGAAAACGAGGATGTTTTCCTGGCACTATAGTGGTACTTTAAACTAGCAACACCTTTATCTGTTCACCACTATTTCCAAATAAGTGAATAACTGTGTTTAAAAATCCTCTTATCTTATGTTCAAACAATGAAGGCTAATGGTAGCCTTGGTGTCATTCTCTTTGTTCTGGGATTTGGTATTTAAAAGCAAAGCAGAAGTCCTTCAATTGAGCAAAGAATATCACTAGTTGCTTTGTTTTAGTAGTGATGCGTGTGTATGCATAAAATGTTTGCATCACAGGAACTAGACTCTATATATAACATTTTGAAGGGACACTTCAAGCACCAAAACCACTACACCGCACTTTAGCAGTTCCCAGGGTAAGTCATCAAGCCAAAATTTCAATGTTTTATTGCAATGGAGATACTAACAAAGCCTGGACTGTTCATGGGTCTTGAGGACTGGTTTGAGAACGCTGCTCTAAGCCAATGAGTCAAATGTGCACAACAGAGCTTAGCGTAGTGATGCTAATGAGAGATCCTTGCAAGATCTTCCGGCTCTACTGGAGGAGGTGCACGGGGGTCCCCAGATAAACTCGTCTCCAACAGTTTGATAACTTATACTGGGAGGCCACCAAGGAACTCCTTGCAACATAACTGCTATGGCAGGCTGCAGGGGTTATAGTGTTTGGTGTGTGCCTTTAATTGAAGGATTGCTTGCTAAGTTGCATTCCAATACCAAAATGACACTTGTTCTAGATTAAAGGACCACTGTATAGGAAAAAGCAGGACTGATAAATAATGTGACACTTGAGCAGCTCTGGAGCTCTCATAATAAAGCATGAGACTGGGTTCACAAGTTTTGTTAATGTCTCTAGAACCCTGGTATATCAATATGTTTACCGAAATCTGCTTCATCATTACGTACAGGTATATATTTTTTTGTCAATTTTTTTTTTTGCGTAGTCGAAGTACCATAATCACTTTAGCTTCTTGTTTTTTATAGAGAACATGGTATTTCAGTGTTGTCTAATGTGTTACTTTTGTGTTTTTTTTTTTTTTTTTTCATAAATTCAAACTAGGTATATCTTGTATAGGATTAACATGCCAGAACTACTGATGTTAAATCAGGCAGTGGGATAGTACTTAATGAAGTGTCTTCAAATAACCAAATTGGGATTTAGTAATTTGACAACAGCAAAAACTGTAAATTTATTTCATCCAAATTTTGTTAATTTGAACTGCACTTGGCTTGTATTGAATGATACTATAGTTGGATCAAACTATTTACAAACTACTTTAGCCTAAAATTTTACTTTTTTCCTTTTGTAAATTTATTTAAAGCCCGGCCCCTCTGAAGTAGACTTCCACAGTAGCTTCTTCAATTTTGAGCAACAATGTCTCATCTGCCCCATCACTCTAAGTCTGGCATTGCTGTCCACTTATGTATTAGCAACAGTGGGACTGGGCTTGCAGGTACCAGGAGGGCCCTGTGTATTTTAAAAATGTTTCAAAATGATTTGACACAAACAAGAGACTGGTGCTCATAGCCGCTCTACACCATAACCTTAATAATGAGTGATAGGTTATGGGACTTCCTGTGCTCCTTCAAAATTAGGGTTAGAACAATTCTTGCCTTTGGGCATCACCAGAACATGCTTTCCACTCTGCTCAAAATTGGTGGCAACTGCTGCAATTTGTGGCTGCTCTCCTTCAATCAGTCACTTTTCCTCTGATATGTCAGGAGAGGAGCTGAGAAAAGAGAATCATACTCTCTCTCTCTAGCTCCTCTCCTGATGGCACATTACTAAGGCATAGTTGACAAATTGTCCTGAATTGGCTGAGACCGTGCCATGTGTTTTTTTTTTTTTTTTTCTCCTGTCCCAACAAAAATGGGTAAAAGAAACTCTCTTTTGGTTACAGTAACCCTTGCTGTGCTTGTATGAACCCTCCCCTATTATGATTAAAAAAGTGTGTGTGTGTGTGTGTAAAACTTACCGCTGTTCCAGGGCAGATTCTCAGTGCAGCCCAATCCTCCTCCTTATGTCAGGGAGCATGACTGAGGTGAGGACATGGGCTGCACAGAGGGGAATGCCGTACCGCCAAATGGACATCTGTCGCCAGCATACTGTGCTCGATGATGTCAGTCGTTCATCTGAATTCACATTCGCTAACTGGAACTCTTATTTTGGGCTGGGTAATGACACTGCCGAAGGTGCAGTTACACCTTTTGGCAGCAGAGGGGTTAAAGTTTTTGTGTGCAGCATTCCATAGCGAAGCTGCACATACAGACTGCATGCACTATGACCACTTTGAATTAACTCAAGTGGTCATAGTTTTTGGGAGTAACACTTGAATCTATCATTCTTGGTAATGATTGGCAAACTTTTTTCTTTTCTGATTGAGTTCTGTGGCATATTTCAGCACTTTATTTATTACATAGAACATATGTATTTAATTGTCCTTTTTAAGGAGGAAGTTTAGTGAGCCACTTCCTGATGCCATTATATTTGCCTGTAGCAACCCTAAAACATTTCAGAAAATCGTTATTGCCATTAACCTTTTATTTAGTTTTTTTTTTTTTTTTTATCATTTGTGTTAATGCAGATTTCAAATTTTTGTGACAAAATTGCTGGTATTATGTCTGCATTACTTAAAGGGACACTATAGTCACCCAGACAACTTCATCTCATTAAAGTGGTCTGGTTGCAGCGTCCCTGTCCCCTTATCCTCTGCAATGTTTACATTGACGATTTAAGACTGCCACTATAGTATTCCTTTAATGTCTAAGAGCATTTGGTTGTGCCATTCACCCTCGTCATTCCCTAGAATGTCTCAGAACTTGTCACTCTAGTTAGGGAATACCCATGCTAATTATTATGTGGTCTGTTTTGTGGTTGTTAATCCATAGCAATTTTAATCTTTTTAAATTAAAGGATCACTATAGTGTCAGGAAAACAAATACGTTTTCCTGACACTATAGTACCCTGAGGGTACCCTCACCCTCCGGGTCCTCCTTCTGTGGCGCTGAAGGGGTTAAGCAGCTTACCTTTTTCCAGCACCGGGCTCCCTCGGTGCTGGTGACTTCTCCTCCCCCGCCGACGTCAGCGGAGCCGAATGCGCGTGCACGGCAAGTGCCGCGCGCATTCCAAGTGACCATAGGAAAGTATTTTTCAATGCTTTCTTATGGACGCTCTGCGTGATGGAGGCATTAAAAGCCTCCAGCGTCGCAGATGCGCCTCTAAAGGCTGTCCGGAAGACAGCCACTAGAGGCTGGCTTAACCCTGCAATGTAAACATAGCAGTTTCTCTGAAACTGCTATGTTTGCATCTACAGGGTTAGAACCTGAGGGACCTGTCACCCAGACCACTTCATTGAGCTGAAGTGGTCTGGGTGACTACATAGGCGTGCGCAGCCTATTGCATTAGGGTGTGCACCCTAAAGCACAAACACACGCCGTGTGTATATGTATATATATGTGTGTGTGTGTGTATATGTATATGTATATGTGTGTGTGTGTGTGTATGTGTGTATATATATATATATATATATATATATATATATATACATATATATACACACACACACACACACACACTGCTGTGAGGGTGGTTTGAGGGTGTTGTGTGTAAGGGTGCTGTATGTGTGTGGGTGATTGTGGGGGGTACATTACTTAATATCCCTCCTCCCTTCTTACCTTATGTAGGGATGGGGGATTCTTGTTCCTGCTGCTTTCTCTGGTGGTCCAGTGGAGAGTGAACTCTAGCCCCTGTGGGGCTAGAGTTCACCGCTCAGATCTCACGAGAGGAACCCGGCAGAGCTGCTGGTTGAGCTCCCCGGGTCCTCTCCTGCCTCCCTCTATGCTGCAGTGGGGAGGGAGGCTGAGAGCAGAGCTGGCGCTCGGATAGCGCCGGCTCTGCATGAGCCGACGGGAGATCCTGAGATCTCCCCTGCCAGTCTCACTCCATAGGCGTGCCGCGGGAATTAGGGTGTGCCGAGGCACACCCGGCACACCCCGTGCGCACTCCTACTGGTGACCATAGTGTCACCTGATTGTTACCTGATTGTAGTTATAAAATTATTCATGGGTAATATATTTTTCTTTCTATTGCAACTTGCTTTATAAACTGCATGTGGCAGTGTTTTATATGAAACAATGTTTATTTGGTTAGGGCTATAATTGTACAATTTTGAACAGGAACTATTGAGTGTTTTTTATGGTTTTCTTTTATTTTTAATCATTGTTTTTTCTTTATTTTAATAAAGATACTAATTTTAAACAAATAAAAAAGAGAAATAAAATAAGTTTTGCTCACTGGTTTTCATATTAAGCCTGTAATTCTACTTGCATAACCGTATCCTCTTCCATAATAGGTTCTGGTAATGATTCAGATGAGGAAATGTTGAAATCTACATTTGTAGAAGAAACATGTGACTTCCTTCCCTGAAGGTGTATAGAGTACTTTGAAATAGTCTTTATGAATCAAAATTTAAAGGGATACTCTAGTTATCATAACTACTACATCCTATTGTGATGGTTATAGTTACAGCAATTCCCTTGGAGCCATCTCCTTGTTTTGTGTCAAACCATTTCCAAATGGATCCCAGGTACCTGCAGCCTGTCCCCTTGCTGTCCAGGTTGATAATGTAGAACTTGCACTTCTGTATTAGTAATATCTATTGCATTAGCCACTGAATGCCGTAAGTTCCACACCAGCAATACGCCAAATGGAAAACATTCAGTTTTGTTCTAAATGGTTAGACACGTAATGTTCTAAATAGTTAGACTCATAATGAGGATACAGCGAAGGAAATGCTGACAATGTCATAGTGGTTGTGGTGTTTAGGGGGTCCCTTTTTAAATACTTTATTTCACTCTTTGTGGTTTAAATTTCAGATATTCTTCTAGTATGATAAGTTAAAAGGTTACTGCAGGCATCACAATCACTACAGTTCGTATGCCTAGGTCTCGCCAGGAGCCAAAAGTCCATGTATGTCTGGTGACGTGCATGTGGATTTGCAAAGGCTGGATATCTATATACTGCTTTAATGCTCACCATGGCTGTCAGTCAGGCAGCCTGAACAGATTCCAGATAGCCTGTGTCCATTTTATTTTTGTAATTGAGGCAAACTGTGCACACTGAGAGCCAGGCCATAGACTGCTCGGTCTCTGGTGTTGATGATAGTAACATATCTATAGCAAATTAACTTTAAGATAGCAGCCAGTTAACCTAGGCTCAATATGCATATGGTACAGAGATGAAGTGACCAAATCCTATCGCAATATTGTCTGGTCATAAAGCTGTGGTATGTACTTTTGCAATAATGTAATAACAAGATAGAAGCCAGTTACACTAGGTTCAATATGCATAATATGATTTTTCTATGGCAGACTGCACAGCGCATGCACGTGTACCGTCACGGTATGCTAGGGTATGAAAGCTGGGGAATAACAGTCTTGGGTCTCATACCAAGAGGACTTGGAGGCATGGCTTGAAGCCACACTTCCAAGCCTTCTATTTAATTTGAGGCCACCTTAGAGGAAGCTGTAGGTTTCCCATAAACTCTTGTTCAGCATAGTTTTCTGGGAAATGTAGTAAAACACATTCATGTGTTCTAGGTTTACCTGTGGCTAATAGTACATTAAAGGACCACTATAGTGCCAGGAAAACAAACTCGTTTTCCTGGCACTATAGAGTTATTAGGACCCCCCCTCCCGCTGGACTGAAGGGGTTAAAAGCCCTTCAGCCACTTACCTTAATCCAGTGCCGGGCTCCCTCGTCACTGGTGACCCCTTCTCCTCCTGCGGACGTCAGCGCCAAATGCGCATGCGCGTCAAGAGCCTCAAGCGCATTCAAACCTCCCATTACTCAATGCTTTCCTATGGACGTCCAGCGTCTTCTCACTGTGATTTTCACAGTGAGAATCGCGGAGGCTGTATTAACCCTCAGTGTAAACATAGCAGTTTCTCTGAAACTGCTGTTTTTCAGCTGCCGGGTTAAAACTAGGGGGACCTGGCATCCAGACCACTTCATTGAGCTGAAGTGGTCTGGGTGCCTATAGTGGTCCTTTAAGGAACATTCATGTTAATCTCATGTGGCTTCCATTTTATTGTGCACATTTTTATTTTTTAAGTGAAGCTAAAGAGACTCTTTTTTATCGTAAATGTAAAGCTTCTCAGGGAATTAAAAATTATCCGCTGTCTCCTGCTCCGTGTCTGACTGCTTCGTCTTGTAAGTGGGAGAATTTCCCAAATCATTGCAGATTCGGTGCATTTGACATAATGTAAATTATCGTTTTTTGGGGGGGAAACATCCTCTGAGGAAAGGGGTGTTAATAGGGGCAAAAAAAAACAAAAAACACTTGTAATTTGGTGACCATTTCCCAAACCCCTACCATGGCCTCTCTCCAATTCTACAGGGAGGACATCATTCAGATTCCTGGTGATCCCTCTGGCTGTATACCTCCTGTGGTGGCTCTTGTGAGCTCCGCATTCATTTTATCAGAGCGTTGCTTTAATTCCGCAACACTGCTCTGAACTCCCCCGTGCTCTTGGGAGCAGTTAGAGGAGGTCTTCAAGCAGAGTGTTGTAGCGGAGATGCAATATTCCCCAGGTTGTCTCCGCTTATAATCCAAGTGAGGCTCAGGAACAAGTAAATAATAAATCCATAGGCAAAGTTTCCAGCAGGTAAAATAACAGCAATCTCCCCACAGCAATCCCAATAACTGGACGACACACAGTTTCAGGAGCAGAACTGACAAGCCTTTAATCACAGTCTCCTTATAAAGCATGCTCCCATGCAAGGGAGGGATTACAGTAATTATTACAGTAGCCAATCCTGTCCTGGTAACCTCCCACACATCTCCTCCCCTCAGCCAGCATCATAATCCCCTTATCCAGTACACCAATTCCCCCCGTTTCTGGATGTACCCCTAAACGTAGGGGTACCTCTTTAAATCCTACATCCCCTGGTAGCCCTGATCTGGGTGAACAACATATCCAAAAACCACCCAGATCAGACCAGGGGTTCGGGAAAAGTATGGAGGGAATAAAATGACCGACCGCACGAACTGAGATAGCCGAATTCGGTTCCATGTGAATGGGCCCTGCGGTCGGTCCTGGCATAAGGGAATAAAATACACGAAAACCTCTAGCTATAGAGGCTAGGGAGGGTTCGCCTGAATCCCCTCGTTCGGTATTCTCTATCTACCGAACGAGGGGCCGTTCGGTAGTTTGGAACCGAACGGACCAGGGCTGTGGAGGTCTCAGCGGTGTTCACCTACTTGAGTGTCCGATTTTAGTTCCAGACACTCGACGGCTAAACACCGCTGTTCGGGAGTTTTAAAATTAGGGATCGACCGATATTGATTTTTCAGAGCTGATACCGATACCGATATTCTGTGAACTTTCAGGCCGATAGCCGATATAATTTGCCGATATTCTGTACATTTACCAAAATAAAAACTATTTCTAAAGGTAAATGCACAAAATATACATGCCACGTGTAGTGGATGCAGTGTGACAGGGGAGCTGTGTGTGTTTGTGTAGTGGATGCAGTGTGTGTTTGTGTAGTGTGTGTGTTATGGATGCATTGTGTGTGTGTAGTGTGTGTGGAGGATGCAATGTGTGTTTGTGTAGTGGATGCAGTGTGTATTTGTCTAGTGTGTGTAGTGGATGCAGTGTGTATTAGTGTAGTGTGTATATAATGAAAGCAGAGTGTTTGTGTAGTGTGTGGGTAGTGTGTGTAAAGTGAATGCTGTATATACTAAATGCAAAGTGTGTGTGTATATAATGAATGCAGACTGTGTGTGTATAGTGAATGTAGTGTGTGTATAGTGAATGTAGTGTGTTTATATAATGCAGAGTGTGTGTGTTTGTATAGTGTGTGTATATAATGCAGTGTGTTTGTGTAGTGTGCATTATATACACACACTACACAAACACACTGCATTATATACACACACTGAATTAAACACACTACACAAACACACACACACACTGCATTATATAAACACACTACACAAACACACACACTGCATTATATACACACTACACAAACACACACTGCACAAACACACTACATAAACACACACCGAATTATATAAACACACTACATAAACACACACCGAATTATATAAACACACTACACAAACACACTGCATTATATACACTACACAAACACACTGTGAATATATACACACTACACAAACACACACTGCATTATATACACACACTACACAAACACACACTGCATTAGGTATACACACATACACAAACACACACTGCATTATACACACACTACACAAACACACACCTGCATTATATACACACATCATACAAACACACTGTATTATATACACACACTACACAAACACACACTGCATTATATACACACACTATACAAACACACACTGCATTATATATACACTACACAAACACACACTATACACACACCACAAACACACACTGCATTATATACACACTACACAAACACTGCATTATACACACACTACAATGTAAATACACACTGCATTATATACACACACTAGCACAAACACACACTGCATATATACACACACTCACAAAACACACACTACACAAACAGTCATGTATTATATAGCACACACTACAATAAACACACACTACACAAACACTACACAAACACACTGAATTATATACACACACTACACAAACACAATGCATTATATATACACACTACACAAACACTGCATTATATACACACACTACACAAACACACTGCATTATATACACAGTGTGTTTGTGTAGTGTATGTGTATATAATGCAGTGTGTGAGGGGGCATTTTTTATTAAATTATTAAAAAAAAAAAATTATATTTACTTTATTATTTATTTTTGTTGTCCCCCCTCCCTGCTTGTTACCTGGCCAGGGAGGGGGGATATGACAATCCCTGGTGGTCCAGTGGTATTGGCTGAGCTTTGGGGGGGCGGAGAGCAAGCGCTTACTCACCTCCCAGCAGCTCCTCCAGCTCCCCAGTGTAACTCTCGCGAGACCCGCGGCCGTCAGAGCGTTGCCATGGATCACCATGGCAACGCTCCGCGCGACACGCTGGCCGCGAGAGTTACACTGGGGAGCTGGAGGAGCTGCTGGGAGGTGAGTAAGCGCTTGCTCTCCGCCCCCCCAGGACCGCCGGGCTTGTAATGAGCCCGGCGGTCCTAGGAGGTATTATCGGCAATATCGGTATCTGAATTGGCCGATACCGATATTGCCGAGAATACCGAATATCGGCCGATTATATCGGTAAAACCGATAATCGGTCGATCCCTATTTAAAATGGCCGCCGCCACGTGTTCGTTTGTCGAATGGCGGCCACCCCCGAGAACAAAGGACGGCTACTTACTGTTCAATTACCCGTTCGCAACAATGTTGCAACGGGTAATTGAGGACACACTTCACACAGGGAAGGTCTGGTTGTTCGGTAGTTTCATTCGAATAAACTAAGGGAACGAAACTACCGAACAATCACAAGAATACAAGGCTTTAAAACACATAGGAAACTAACAGATCACACGAATGCAATTATTTCACAGACATTTGCAGGACAGCCCAGTGCCATCCGCTACAAGTGTGAAATGTTTTTTTTGGGGGGGGGCGGGGGGGTGTATAGGAAGCTTTGACCCTGACCCTGAACAGGAATGGGAGATAAACAGAAATACTTTGTTATGATGCAATTTAGTTGGCAGAGGATAGACTGTTGCCATGCATGATTATTTTAGCTGCTAAATTTCCCTTTGTAAGGTAATATTTAAAGGTGAAAGTAATTATATCTTGTAAGATCATGTGGGTTTCTTGCAGAATTAAGTGCGTTGGGTAATCAATCATGTGTAACGCTAAGAACAATGGAAATAGGAATTCTATAGAATGTAGTTTTCCTGCATTTGTCCTCTATTATTTACAAAACAAGGTAAAGTACAAATCAATCATACTTTACACAAGGTTTTTTATTATTATAATGTAACATTGAAATAAATGCAATTTCATGCATTTCTTCTCTTATGTGAAAGAGATTTAAAGAAATTTACTGTAATGAAAATGTTTCAATATAATACGACTGAATCCCTATAAGAAAGATTACGGTTTGAGACATTTCATTAGTTTAGCTTTGGTGTGTGCAATTTTTTTACATTTGTACAGGTTTGGTATTGTGTTTCTTTGACAAGTTGTAGCATAATAGTTTCTAATCTAAACTTCCCAAAATCTGTTTACATTTGTAATTGGCAGAGATTGGTGTAGGCATTTGACTCCATCTCACCTCCCCACAAACGAAATCAGCAGTTTTTGTTTGTTTTTGCTCAATTAGTCCGTAGCTAAATCTTTATTTAAAATATTTTAACTTCTTGAGTGAAACTCACTTTTGCTAACACTTAAGAATTAATCTCTATTAACATCTGATGTACCATTAGCATGTAACGTAAAATTCGGTGCCAACTTTAAGGCTTACCTCAACCACCATGACCACTTCAGTGATTTGAAGTGGTCATGGTGGTAGGAAACTGTATGTGCAGTGTTTCTGCCTGAAACATTGCACACGCAGAGTTATGTTTAAATTTGTGTTGTGGACTAGTTGCACCTCCAGTGCATGTGACTTCTTCTTTTCCAGACTACCTAATTTCAATTCCTTCTCTGCTCCCTCCCCCTCTGCCATTTTTTCTATGATGTATTATATTCTTTGCATATACATATCAGAGTTCTATGCAACCTATCCTATCTTACATTGTTAGATTTGTGTCTTTGTTGCTTAAAAGAACGTTGTGGTGGTTATGGTGGCAAGCAAAATGTAAGCAGTCACTGGTAGCCATTTGCTATAGGTTTTCTTACCGTTAAGGACCAGGGCTGTATTTACATTTCTGTGGTGTTTCTGTTTAGCTGTAATTTTCCTCTCACTCATATACTGTACCCACGCATTATATACCGTTATTTTCATCAGATCATATAATTTAGTATCAAAATAAATGATAAAATATAAAGAAGGAGAAAAAAATAACTTTTTTTTTTCTTCTAACTTTGACCCCCAAAATCTGTTAGGCATCTACAACCGCCAAAAAACACCCGTGCTAAATTGTTTCTAAATTTTGTCCTGAGTTTAGAAATGCCCAATGTTAACATGTTCTTGGCTTTTATTTTTTTCAAGTTATAATGCTATTAGTACAAGTAGGACATTGCTGTTTCAAAATATATATATATTTTTTTTAACTGTATCAATTGTGACATCATTATCTGTCATAAATCTCTGAATCATACCTCATATGTACATATTATTATTTTTTAGACAACCCAGGGTATTCAACTTTGGCCAGTGTTTGTGACTAAGTAGCTACTAAAAAGATTGCAATACCTTGGGTTGTCTTCCTTTGCAAATAATATGCCATCATGGGGGTAATTCTCATTCCTGGGCTACCATACGCTCTCAAAGGCAACATAACCAGTCTGGCAACTTTCAATGTGAAAAAACTGAAAATCATACTGGTTTGCATAGTTTTATTAGTACATTCAATGCTAGCAGCATTATAGATTAGGAGTAGAACCTATTTAAAAATGTTCCACTCCCCCAGCTATCAATCATTTCTTGGACTAGTATGGACTGACGGGTAGAGCAGGAGAGACCTCATACAGGCAGGCGTCCTGCTCTCAAAGTATAGCAACAGCATGCACTGTGTTTCTATGGTTACTCCCTAGCCTGTGCTTCTGGTATGTTGGCAATATTGAGGAGGATTGCCCTGTCCCAATCAGGACCCATCTGTTTACACAATGGGCAGTATGCAGGATTGACCGAGGGTGGCTGTTAGAGTAATGTAACATCCTTGAAGCTATGGTGAAGTCGTGTGGTTCACAGTTCTTAAAGGGACACTATAGTCACCAGAACAACTACAGCTTATTGAATTTGTTCTGGTGAGTAGAATCATTACCTTCAGAGAAAATGCAGTGTTTACATTACAGCCTAGGGATAACTTCACTGGCCACTCCTCAGATGGCTGTTAGAGATCCTTCCTGGGTCATGGCTGCCTAAAATGCATCCAAACATTCAGTATCTCCACCCTCTGCATGCAGAGCCTGAACATTCCTCATAGAGATTCATTGATTCAATTTATATCTATGAGGAGATGCTGATTGTCCAGGGCTGTGTTTGAATTGTGCTGTCTCTGCCCCTGATCTGCCTCTTTGTCAGTCTCAGCCAATCCTATGCGTAAGCATTGTGATTGGATCAGGCTACCACTTCTGAGGATGTCAGCAGAATGCTTGTGGTTTTGTTTTTTTGTTTTTTAGGCAAACAGCATGCAGATCTACAGCTTCTGGCTTGAATACAGTAAGGTGTTGCTATATATATGGAGGCATGAGGGGACCAGGGGGGCTAGATGGTGGTTTTAACACTATAGGGTCAGGAATACATGTTTGTGTTCCTGACCCTATAATGATCCTTTAATGGCTATATCTTTAAATATTACACTGAATATGTGACTGCGCTCCTGTACTTTGACGGAGTACCTTCGCCAAGTCCGCTTCCTCTCTGCTACCAGGGACTCTGGCGCGCTTTAGACCCAGTCGCCGAAGCTTGATTGGGGTATCTGAGGACATATTCCACTGGGCCAGGCTGCAGTGAAATTAACCCTGCAAACCCTCTCTCCTGTACAGCTGTGATTTATAGCTTTATTTTATAGACCAGTCTGAGTGTAGGGGGTAGTATGACCTTTATTGTACAGAACACAGATATTTATACAGAACAGTGTTGACTCTCTCCCTGCAGGGGGTCAAACCTACATTACAATGTACAGTACAGTTGTCCCTCCCTGGTGTCATTCTGTCTGGAGACGTAATTATTTTATCCCCAGATAATACAATCTGCTCCCTGCTGTGCCCTCATGGTGTATGCACAGCATACAAAATGTCCAATATATATCACTGGAAATCTAGTCACTGAGCTACGTAGCTGTCCAA